TACATCATTATGTAAATGAACTTATACCACAAAATAATACATCTTCTTGTATGCAGTTATATTTTTACAATACAAACAATGAAATTGAAAATCGTATGAAAATTTCATCTAACTTTGTTGAATCTACCTTGATTGTTTTAACTGAAATCTTGAAAACAAATCCATACGATAAATTTTTTAGGTCTTTAAGTGATATGAGTAACTTGCATCATCATCAAATACAAATACGTTGCAATCCAAGTCTTGATCAAAGAGTTTTCAATACACTCTGCTATATGGATTGAAGATGATGAAAATGCTAACGTTTGTGCTCGTGATATCACTATTATTATGGATGCTATGATCCGTTGTAGTATTTGTTACTCTTCCCATATGGAGAATCTGGTTGCCATGAAGGCATTGAGGGACATAGAAGCCCATATTTCAAGCCTCAACATATGCCGACATATGATGTTCTTCGCAACACAACTACTAACTGAATTTATCGAAAAAGAGAATGAAGGTTAGCAAATATATCATCTGGTAGAGTTTTATATTTTTCCAGTGTTTGATCTTATAAATGAGTATTTAATTTGCTTTTCCTTTGGATTTTATAGTGCTCAATCAAGCGAAGAAACGTACTCAGGTATCTTGTTACAAATAAGGCCTTTGGTAAATCTGTGTTGCTTCATGCTGGAAGATTATTTCAACAGTATGTTGTAGATATGTTTGTTAAGATTAAAACTGCTAGGTTGGACTATTTTGCAATAATAAAAAAAAAATTTGTGCTGAACTTTACCAATGTGTTGTAGACAGTGTTCAAAATGGGGAAATAAGAGTGTACAAAGTTGGAAGAAAATATGTTTTACCACAATCTTTTACTTGTAGGCCTCATGATAAGTTAAGAAGATACATGGATAGAATGGCTATTGTGCAGCGTTATGGAAAACCTGATATATTCTTAACTATAACGTGTAATCCAAATTGGCCAGAGAATAAGCATGAACTAAAAAACAATGATGAAGTTCAAAATCAACCTGATTTAATCGTACGTATATTTAGAGCAAAATTGGAAGAATTGAAACATGATTTATACAAATCAAGTATTTTAGGCCCTATTATTGCGCATATATATGTTATTGAGTTCCAGAAAAAATGACTTCCTCATGCACATATGTTGTTAATATTCAAATCTGGATATAAAATCTATTATGCTGAAGAAGTCGATAGGATAGTATCATGTGAAATTCTTGACAAAAATAAATATTCTCATCTTTATTCTGTTATTGTTAAACATAATATGCATGGTCCATGTGGAAATATGAATCCGAAAAATGTATGCATTGAGGCAAATAAATGTTGTAAAAATAAATACCCAAGAGATTTTTGTAATATTACTATATTTGGTCAAAACTCATACCCATTAAATAAGTGTCGTGATAATGGTATTTCTGTTCGAGTTAGAGGTCATATGTTAGACAATCGATGAGTTGTACCATATAATTCTTATTTAA